TTGAAGGATGGAACGTAGACTGTCTGGAAGCATGTGGAAGATGAAAAGGATCACATGTGATCGGAAATATGAGTAGTTAGGACGCGGCGTTGCTCAAGGACGAAGTTAAGTAAGTCGTTGAGCCCCGGGAAATCTTGGAAGTCATCGCCAGAATGTTCCCAGCCGCCACGTAGTCAGGATTGTCAGTGGTTGAAGACACATTAGCGACGAGCCAGCTCTCAAGCCACTCCAAAGAAGGAATGACTGGAGGAGTTAGAGCAGCAACACAGGAGTGGAGGTGGCCAAGGAGCTGAGGAGGGCCCAAATGGAAATTAATCCATGCAAGAGAATGAGGATCCGAAACTTTCCAGCCACACATTAAGAATGCAGACCGGAAAAGCATGACTACGAAGTTAATGTAGGCCCCTAAAGCCATCTGCGCCTTAGATGCCGACTCCGCGGTAATGTCGAAAACTCCGACAGGTGGTGGCTCCTTCAGCACAGGAAGACGAGGAGAAGAAGCATCACCAACTTGGTCGGCCATTGGCATATCAACAACGTTGGCAGGAGGCTGTTGACCAGCCGCCGCCATCGGCCGGCACGCTCGCGGGTTTGGCCTGCTTGGGCTTCTTGCCCGCCACCGCCTTCACGGCCTGCTTCAGCGCCTTGCGCTCCTCCTCCGTCTCCGCGTACGCCATGCCACGCATCTCATGCACGACCTCCCAGCCGTGGTTGTATGCAACGACCAGCTCCTTCGCGACCCCCCGGAACACGGCCTTGCCGTCGGTGATGGCAATCTCCATGGCCTCGATGTTCCTGAAGCGTTCCTCGCCGGGCCGAGCCGCGAGGACGTTGCGCCACGCGTCCTCAATGTCCATTACCGCATTGTAGCATTTCTCGGTATGCACGCGCTGTCCGCTGAGAGACTTGTTCGCTTTGCCCTCGCTGGCGCCGAAGTCACATTTGAAATCCTCAAGGGCGACACGGGCCCGCTTCGCCGGTGGACCGTCGACCGCCTGCACGTCAGGCTTCGTGTCCATAAGCTTCTTAATGGTTGTCAGCTGCAGCTTCACGGCGTTCAGCTGGTCCATGGCAGCCAGCTGCTGCTTGTTCAAAATTACGCCCGGGTCAGCGGCGCGACGCTCCTGCGCAGCCTTGACATCTTTATTTTCCTTAAGTGCGACTAGTCGCGCTTTTAGTTCGGTGTACATCGTGTTGTAGCTGACCGAAGTCTCGCTGTCAGAATCGGACATTGTAATTGAGGGCGCACTACCACGAAGCGGATCACCAAGGCCTACAGACCAACCGTAGTAGTAGCAGTAGCATTAAGAGTTAGCATTAACAGAATTAGTAGGGAATACCCGGGTATGCGCTTGACCATGGACCGTTGTCCACCACACTACAAAATAAATCTCGGCTACACAGTGCGCAACCCCCCTTCTTCCCCCCTTCCCTTCCCTCCACCCCACCATGCCCCACCATGCTTCATTCCTTCCAGCGCCATCCCATCATCCCCCTCCCAGCCATTTTCAGCCATCAACCACGGTATGCCCCGTGACTTTCCTCCCCCCTCCCTTACTCGTTTCTCTCGATAAGCTCTCTAAGCCCCCTCACGCAGCCGTCCACCCACTCAGCTGAGGCCACATCCCACCAATCGTGCACTCTTAAGGCTGTACACACATCTCTACGTGACTGATGGGCACATCGAGCTGCTGCAACTCGTACTTGGCACCAGCAGCACCTGGGCTGAGACAGCCGCCGCCGCCGCCGCCACCACGGCCGCCGCGCACCAAGGAAACTACGTACAGCACTAGAGCCAGCGCCAGCACCGACAAAACGAGGCCTAGCACCAGCGCCGCCACGGCGATGTTGTATGCGCGGTCCAGCTTGGCAATGTCGATTTGCTGGTTCTGGTCCTGTGGGCAGTGTGCGTCCATTAGGTCCGTCCGCCCATCCATCCATCAGGGGCCATCATCGGCAGGTTTGGAGGTGGCGCAGGTTGGGCCGCCATCATTGCAGCGGAGGTCGGGGGCGAGGTTGGGACACATCATATATCATAAGCAGGGGCCATCATCGAGGCCAGAACGCCAAGGAGGAGGACGAGGAGGAGGAGGCGAACCCAAACAGTCAGGAAGCAGCGGAACTAGGTGGTGAGCAGCAGCAGCAGGTCAGTCAGCCAGCCGGCCAGTCAGCTGGTACACCAACCAAAACCCAATCTCCGTGGCCCTTGGCCTAACCAAACACTCAACCGCAGTTGGCTAAACGGAAGCCAAAAGTTGCACAAGCGAAAACGTTTGAGCTAGTGCGTAAGGTACGGCACCTAATACACAGCTATAACAGCTATGTAGCCACAGACACACATACATGCCTGGGCTTGGAGGTCCGCCGCCGTTGTGCTCGTCCCGGCCAGGTCGCCCCTGAGGCTGCTGGCGAGGCTGCTGGCGAGGCTGCCCCCCAGCGCCGAGTCAAAGACGGAGGGGGCGCGGGCGAGGACTATGGTTGTGGAGGGGTTGGCCACCTGCGAGAGACACCACGGGACACGTCCAGGGAACCATTCGGGCGGGGAGGGGTGGTGATGGGGGAGGGGTGGTGATGGGAGGGGTGGGGCGGGAAGGGGTGGTGATGGGGGTGGGTGGGGAAGGGGGCCTGCCCCTGCCCCTGCCCCTGCCCCT